AAGTACTCACACTCAAGTTCCAGTCTTGCTGGCTTTCCTTCATACATCACACACACACACACACACACACACACACACACACACACACTTGTGGGTTCTCTATCCACTGATGAAACTGACTATTAATTGAACCTGAAATACTCATTTCAAAAAGGATTGTGCCTGCTAAGTAGAGATGGGTTTTATCTTGTCATCATTCCGGGTTATTTATTCAGCTTTCCCAGCACTGTAAGTCATACAGAGGCAACTTAAAGCATCCAGAAGGCTGTAAGTTCTGGGTGAATACTACACCTTTTTGATAAGGGGTTTGAGCTACAAGAGCAGCCCAACACTGGGTCTGGACTCAGCACGAGACTGAGACTCAGCATGTATGCATCTGATTCACACAGGCTGAGCAAGCTAACTAGCTCAGTAGCTGTGACCTGCCCTGAAGTGTCCTGGGATGGCTAGAGTGGTTTTTCATCCATTCTAGGCTGTGGAAGTCTATGTGTGGCCTGTTTGAAGCATGTGCCCACCTCTGTAACAAACACATAGAATCACACGAAGGTGTCTTGTTTCTTGACTTGGACTTGCTGAGCAAATATGGTGAATACTCCAATTGCTCATGAATACCAGATCTATCTTTATCCTCTATGCTGAGGGTGCATGAGGGTAACCCTGAGCCTCCTAGATAATTCCTTTGTTATCTGGTATTGTGTTGAAATACCATGTGTCTTCCTATCTTCTAGGATTGAAAGTATCTGGAAATGTGTTTCTTCACTTTAATCACCTAATCTGAGACCCACTGTATATTCATCATAACGTAGTCATGTCAGAAGACTGCCTTTGAGGATGCCATCATTTCTGTGACAGTTCAATCACTTTTCCAAGGGAGCTCGCAAGACCTTTATCTAGTTTAAATCGCAGCCACATCCCAATGTGAATAAATGAATTTGGTTGGGCAGGTGGTACACACCTGTAATGTGAATGCTTTGTCAGCCAAAGTGGGAAGCTTAAAAGTTCGAATTCAGTTGAAAGTTAAGCCTGAGCCATGTAAGGAGACCAGAAATAAATAAATGTGAAAGTGGAGAGAGCCAGGACTAGCTCATGGTAGAAGACTTGCCTAGTACCCACAAGGCCCTGCGTTTGGTCCTCAGTATAAAAAGTAGTATGGAAACTGAAAATTCTCAGATGAGTCTAGCAGCCTAGTGGCCTCCTACATCCTATTCTCTTGGACCTGGGAATATGTTGGGTTACATAGTACAGGGGAATTAAATTTGAGAATCAAACTAAAGTGGTTTGGTGGGTTGAATTGCAGCCTCTTTTTAAATAAAACTATGTTAAAGTCCTAACACCTAAGAGGCTAGAATGTGATCTTACTTGGAAATAAGGTCATTGCAGATGTAATTAATGAAGATGAGGTCACACTGCAGTAGAGTGCTCCCCTCATCCAATGTCCTTATGAGAAGGTAGTTGGGGAGACAGAGGTATATGGGGAGAACGCCATGTGAAGATGAAGATGGAGAGTAGGAGGTGATGTTTCCATAAGCCCAGAATGTCAAAGATTGCCAGCCCCTCCCTGTGCCTAGGAGAGACATTCATAAAAGACCTTCCATCAAACGAAGCCTACTCCAGTAACATGCCAATCTGGAATGTCTGTCCTGTAAAACTGAGAAAACAGATAATCTTCTGGATTTTTGTGTTTGTTTTGTTTTTAATTATTTATTTTTTAATTTTTGTGCATTGGTGTTTTGACTACATGTATGTGTGAGGGTGTCAGATCCCCTGGAATCAGAGCTATAGATAGTTCTGAGCTGCCATGTGGGTGTTGGGAATTGAACCTGGGTCCTCTGGAAAAGCAGCTGGTGCTCTTAACCACTGAGCTACCTCTCCCAGCCACCCAGTTTGTGGAATTCTTTTTCAGCAGACCTACCTAACTAAGCCTATAGATATAGGTTGCCATTCAGCTGACTTACAGAGATTATCCTGGGTCATCTAAACAGACCCCTTGTGATCACAGGAAAGCAAAAGAGAGTAGGAGATGATCAAGACTCAGCCCAACACTGCTGCCTCCACCACTAGGACAAGGGAGCAGTGTTGAGAATGAACTGGAAAAGACAGGAAGAAACCAGCCTACCAACTCTTAGGGCGAACTTCACATTTCCACCCCCACAACATCACAAGTTGGTGATGTCTTGAACTATTAGGTTTTCAGTTATTTGTTACAGCATCAAAAAGTAGAGTGTATATACATATATCTGAAATACGACGTATCTGTGATAGATTATCTTTATGTGTGTGTTCATGTGGTGGATGTGCATGTTGAGTGTAAAGGCTGTCTGGGTGGAGGTCAGAGGTCAAACTTAGGTGTGTTTAGGCAACATACATTTCAGGTTTTTCTTGAGGCAGGGTCTCTCAGTACCTGGAACTCACCAAGTAGACTAGCCTGGCTGGCCAGCAAAGCCCAGGGATCCATTCCACCCACCCCCAGCCTCCCACCCTCCCACCCCCATGCTGGGGTTATAAGCACACACCTCCATGCTTGCCATTTTATGAGTGGGGAATCAAACAAGTCTTCATGCTTGAGTGGTAAGGGCCTTGTCAATTGAGCTATGTTTTCTGTGTGTGTGTGTGTGTGTGTGTGTGTGTGTGTGTGTGTGTGTGTGTGTGTGTTTGATAGTCATTGATCTACCCAGAATATCTAATTAGAGCCGTATAACTTTCAGGCTAAAGTTTGCTGCTCCAAAATCCAAAAATGCCACAAATGTGAAAACTTTTTCGGTGTCCACATGGTGCCCTGAGCAGAAGATCCTATGCCTGACCTCAGTAACAGGTTATAGTCAAAACACTAGAAATACTGCATACAATTACCTTCAGGGGGAGAGAGAGAGAGAGAGAGAGAGAGAGAGAGAGAGAGAGAGAGAGAGAGAGAGAGAGAGAGAGATTGTGTGTGTGTGTGTGTGTGTGTGTGTGTGTGTGTGTGTGTGTGTGTGTGAATTTTGTGTTTGGACTGGGATTCTTGATGCCTGGGAGATCTGACATATATGTAACTATCCAAAGCAAGCCTGCAGAGCACCTTTCCCACCTTGAGGATTCGGAACTTGGACTGCACAGTAGCGTTGAGTGGGATTGTAGTGTCCAAGTACTTAAGGCCTTCTACAGCCATAGTTCTCCCAGTGAAATGGTTGTTTTCTGCTGCCAAAAAAAACCAGATAACAAGGATGGTGAAGGGTGTAGAAATACATTTTCTTCTCATGCCTCATTGGGGTATTTTCCAAGAGAAGTACATGAGTGTACATGGAGCTAAGTGCACACAGGGCTGAGTGCATACGGATGGGGCTGAGTGTACATGGGGCTGAGTGTACACGGGGCTGAGTGTACACGGATGGAGCTGAGTGCACACAGGGCTGAGTGTACAGGGTTGAGTGTACATCGGGCTGAATATACACAGGGCTGAGTGCACATGGAGCTGCGTGCACATGGATGGAGCTGAGTGCACACGGGGCTGAGTGCTCACAGAGTTGAATGCACACAGATGGAGCTGAGTGTACCCAGGGCTGACTGCTCACAGAGTTGAGTGCACACGGGGCTAAGGGCATAGGGAGCTGAGTGCACACGGGCTGACATGGACTGGATGCTGTGATCAACAGTCTGTAAGCCATATATGTTCTCTTCTCACTTCCACACCACACAGTAGGCAGTTATCTCTATCCCTCCTGCATCAGTAGTGGATCCAACAGGGAGAACTTTGCCCACGCAAAAGGTTCTGAAAATTCTGCTTCTAGAGTGGGGTGGCCTGATGGGAGCTCATTAACTGGCATTCAAAGCTATCTTAATAGAGAATGGAATGGCAATCCATGCTCACCATCTAGATTTGGAGATGCTTTCACAAGTATTAAGCTCCTGGGTACTAGGAACATATAAGGAAGGATGGCTTAAGATTGTTCATCACCCAAGGAGCAAGCAGGGACAGTTCATTGGTATCCCCAAAAGAACATTCTCATTTGTGTCCTAGTAAATTGTGATTTCCAAACTGCTCAGTTGTTTCCCAATACCCTGAAGCCAACAGACAGACACACACCCACAGATGGCTGAAACAGTGGGTGAGTAGACAGCTTTAGAAAAGCATTTTCAAGTGCCATCCTCGGCACTGTTTTCCAGTGGCCCATAAGATGCCATCGTCAAGAGTTACTGTCACTAGTCTTGAGGCTTCTTGGGCCATGGAGGACAGGGGGGGACCTGGTCTTGGAGTACTGGTTCAGGCACCGGAGAGGCCTTTGTGCAGACTGTATCAGTCAGCTAATGCTGTGGCAACAGATATCACCTTGTGTCAAAACAGTGCTGGGTTCTCATGGCAGAGGGCAGGAAACAGAATCAGCCAAGTTCATAACCATATTGAAAGCTTCTGTCAAATGGGGGTGTGGCAGGGTGACTTAGTGGTTCAGAATGCTTGGTCCACAATTAGGAAGATGAGAATTTGCATCCTAGCACCCATACAATAAGATGATTGTCTCTGCAAACAAACATTTGTAACCCCAGCCCCAGGGGGAGATGCCAACAGGAAGACTGCTGGAGCTTTCTGGCTACCAACCTAGCTCCTAGGGCATAGGGAAAAAGAGAAGGAATACCTTCTTCTGGCCTCCAAACACACATACACACGCACACATGCACACACACACACACACACACACACACACAAATATCTTTGGGACATGACCAGTTCCATGTCTACTCACACTCCATTGAACTAAGCATGTGCTATGATAACAGATAGGGTGTATGATCCCTCTCCAGGGAGGGAGGGACCTGCTGGAATATTATTTAACCTGACATGGGAGTGTTGTAGCAGAAAGTTCCCTATACCAAAGAAGCCACTGAACTAGATGACCGCTCAGGTCACCCTCTGTTCTGAAGCCCTGGAATTACTTCCAGAGTTGATGATAAAGCTCTCTAGATCTGTCTCTTTCCCCACTCACCCACCGCCAGGTCATTTCCTTACTGTCCTTTCTCCCCCTGGGCAGGTGGGTGGCCGGTCAGTGGAGCCCCTGCTCAGCAACCTGTGAGAAGGGTGTCCAACATCGGGAGGTGACTTGCATGTACCAGCTACAGAACGGCACACATGTCACTACTCGGCCCCTCTACTGCTCAGAACCCCGGCCGACACCAGTACAGAGCTGTGAAGGCCAGGACTGCCTGTCTATCTGGGAGGCATCAGAGTGGTCAGAGGTGAGTGCCTGGGCTTGCCACTGAGGCTGAAGTCATGCAATGGCCTGTAGGCCTTAACCACAGGGCCCACTGTGTGCTGCCTGCTCCAGAGTATTTGTAATTCATACCCATGTATCAAGTCCTCTCTGCCCCATGATTAGCTCTCAAGCGCACTCCAGCTGCTTCCTTGAGTCCCATCTAAAATAGCAATATGGCTAAAAACAGACAAACCAACATACATAATGTAGTTTTGAGACTACACCACTGGGAAAGTGATATTTGATTCCATTTCTTGTGCACATTCCCACCCAGAGATGATGGATGGACAGATGGCAGATGATCAATAGATAGATAGATAGATAGATAGATAGATAGATAGATAGATGAATATATTGATAGATGATAGATACATACATACATGCATACATAGATACATAGATAGACACATAGATAGATGATAAATAGACAGACATTAGATACCCATTGATCTTTTCATTCTCCTTTGGACAAGGTTGGATTGTAGTATGGTCAAGTAGAGTAGCTGGTTTCAAGGTCTTCCCTGCAATGCCAGGGCAGCTCTTACAGGTTGCAGGAGTCAGGCACTAGGAGGGACAGTCTTTGGTATGCAAGTCAGAGTTACAAATCACACACACACAAAAAAAAAACTTGTTGGAAGGAGGTCAAAGTCAAGGCCTAAATTTTAAGTAAGAAGGTCAATCCTGAAAATACATTTTATCTTTGGTGAAGTCATCTTCAGGGTTTTGCCTTGACATTACAATTATGTTGATTATTTGGATATAAGACAAACAAAAAATAGCTAAATAAAGACATGGACTTCCCTTGGTTCCACCAAACCTGGAGTAGTCTAGGAAACTTAAGGAGGCTAGATCCAAGACACTCTTCAGTATGGAAAATATTTTTAAAGTTCCTTTTGATTGCCAAACATAATTATTTTGAATAAAAAAGTTTTCAGGACATTTTTAATGAACAGAAAGCCTGCCACTGGCTGCTCTAAACTGAAGTTTAATTTCAGACAAATCTTGAAATGCACACATTTAAGGCTGAGGCGCTCATCCTGCCCTTTATGATAGTTGGTGAAAGGGGGGGCACTCAACATTGGTTGGTTTTTTTTTCTTTTTATACACTTAGGTTTCTAGTTTCTTTTTTTAAAGATTTATTTATTTATTATGAATATAACATCCTGCCTCCACGTCTGTCTGCAGACCAGAAGAAGACACCAGATCTCATTATATATGGCTGTGAGCCACCATGTGGTTGCTGGGAATTGAACTCAAGACCTCTGGAAGAGCAGTCAGTGCTCTTAACCTCTGAGCCCATCTCTCTAGCCCAGTTTCTAGTTTCTTATTCATGGGGATTCTTCCTCAGTACTTGAGATAGAGGCATGTAAACCTCCCTCCCCTCCCCAGGCCAGGTGATACCCAGGGCTTAGACCACCTTGATCTCAATCAAACACGATTTGTACTTTGATCAGATCAAGTCCTCAAACTTTCCACTCAGACTCTTCCCTGTGAGAGAAACAAAATCCATTCTCACCTAAAGAACCAAGCCCTATTACAGCATGGAAGACCACTACATGGGAAGCATGACCCGTCAAAACAGGATTTGAAGACAAATGCCTGTCACTCTGCACATGGTTAATCCTAACCCTGAGCCAATGTCCACATGAGTCCACCTGATGCTGCCAGCCTAGAATTTGGAATCTAATCGTCCCCCTTGAATTGACCATGAAACTGGCACTCTGTCCCTCTGCTGTGAGAAAAATGTGCCTAAGGCCCTTCTGCTAGGAACTGGCTCTCATTTGTCTATGGGGGAAGAGACTTAAAAGCTTATTCACCCAAGTATTCATCACCCACCTCCTCCCCAGCTTCTTCATGACTTTAATGGAGGGAGGATCAAATAGCAGAAGGAAGTTAGAGGTTGCTGGGAGCCCTCTTTTCCTCAGCCTCTTGGCCCCATCCTGAGGGGGAGTATGGAGAGATGGAGTATCACCATCCTGGGGCCTATGTTACATCTGCTGCACCTGCCCTTCCTCAGGGCTGAGAGCCTCAAGGGAATGGGCAGATCCTGGGGGCAGAGCCAGGGGCCTTGGCCAAGGAAACAGCTGGACAGCAGTGACTGAAACTCCAGAGAGTGGCAGGAAGCACAAATAGAGCAGGATGACACGGGAAATGGCCACAGGCAGAGGTGGTGACTTGGCCCTGTAGTTGCTGAGGAGCTGTGGGCAGTTACCAGGACACAGCCCGCGAGTTCAATGGTAAGGGTGGAGTTGCTGACGTAGTCAGGAAATGGCCACACGGAGAACCAGGACAGCCTCTCAGGGTAGAAACAGAAGGGCCCTCACAGGCCCGAGCATGGCACTGGCAGAACTTGTCCTTCCCCCTTCCCTCTCCCTTGCTAAACTGTAGATGACATCCCGAAGCTAGCCACCAAGGTCTATCCCCTTATGTAGCCACTGCCTCCTCCTGAGGCTGACCACTAAGGTCTACATACCTAAGTACTGAAGTCCAACATTCAAATGCCCCCTTTTGGGCTACCCTACTTAACATGCCCAGTCCAAACAAAGCAACCCATCCTAACATGGGGTTACCCTTTTCCCTTTATAAACTGTCATTTGCCTGTGAGCCACATCTGCCTCCACTTTCTCCAGAGGCAGTTTTTGCCCCTCTGGGGCAAATATCCATCCCCTTTTTCTGCTTGCACTCTGTGCGTTTGTTTTTTTTTTTCTGGATGTGAGGAAACTTTAAACGTTTAGCTCATTATCTCTCAGGCACTGCAATGGCCTGCTACGCATACTAAACTGAGCCAGCCTGAAGTCTCCTCCACAGAATGCAGCCGTTAGCCTCCTCCACCTCTATGTGGGAAGACCGTGTTCCCCATGGACTCACACATAACAAATTAAAATGGGTGGGGCTCCGCGACCTGCAGTCTGTATTCCTTCTGCCTTCTGACTGAGGGCTGCAGACCATATTCCTTCTGCTCACCACCAACGTGTCACTCACTCATGTCAGTTAGCATCTCCCGGAAGTGACCAGGCCTCTCTGTCTGGGCTTCCTTCGACTTTGAGGGATGTGTTAAGTGCTCTCACCAGCCAGTGCAGCATGCCTTCGCAGAGTGGAGTGCGACAGGATCCAACATATCCCAGAGTACCCAGTGTCCCGTGTCCTGTCAACTCCTTGACTCTGGTCTCTCCTTTTTCCTTGGGTGGGGGGGATGATTTGGTTTGGGTTTGGGTTTTTTGTTTTTTGCATTTTTGTTTTTTAAGACAGGGTTTTTCTGTGTAGACCTGGTAATCCTGGAACTTACTCTGTAGACCAAGCTAGCCTTAAAATCAAAGATCCACCTGCCTCTGCCTGCCAATTGCTGGGATTAAAGGCGTGCAACCCCACTTCCTGGCTTTTGTTATTCCTTGTTGCATGAGGACACTGCAGTCTTGAGTTCTTGAGGGTTTGATCATCATTAGTGATCCCTCGGGCTCTGCCCAGATCCCTTCTCCAAGTTGTTTCTTGCCATGCCTTCTAATAAGTAAAGTATGCTACTGTGTGGAATGTCGATCTCTCCATTCTTGATATCCACACGAAATTCCAAGCTTGCCTTACGAGAAACCCCCATGGTTCCTAGCCATTGCCTCCTTTCTGATCGAGGTCTCAGCTGGCTCAGACTCCTTTGCTGTCAGACGCCCGCTTGGCTCCAGCTGGCCCCTGCTTCTCTTGCCAGTTCATGCTATGCTTGCCCTTTGAACATTTTCCCTGAGTTGATCTTTTAGACCTGGCATCTGGTCATTAAATTCCATTTCCCTCATTTGACCACCTAAGTACCATGGGTTCTTCTGCGTCTGGTCTCCTCTATCCTTCACTGGCCACCTGGAGAGGGCTCCCTAAGGGAATAACAAGACTGGAGACCATGAACATTTAAGGATGGCATGTGCAATAGCATCATGTCTGCTTCCCCACTTGGTCCTGATACACGGTGGGGGTTTCAGTGGTGTTAATGGACTTGAACTGAGCTGGAATGCATGAAGCACCCATACTCTGTCTTGCAGTGCTCTGCCAACTGTGGCAAAGGGACACAGAAACGAACCGTGACATGCACCAACTCTCAAGGGAAATGCGATGCGTCCACAAGGCCGAAAGCAGAGGAGGCGTGTGAGGACTACTCCGGCTGCTATGAGTGGAAAACTGGGGACTGGTCTAAGGTGAGGACAGCCTCTGGTTTCCCTCCCTCAGGCCACGGCAGTGTGAGCTCGCTCGCATGAGCTCCTGTTCTGCTGGAGATGAGGATGAGGCAAGTTCGCTTTCCTTCCCCACTCCTCAGAACTCCTCACTATTGAGCCTGCATGCATCTCCCCTGCTCTTTTCAATCAACCAGCTCTGCTTCGGCTTCCTGGGAGCACCCCACTGTGGTATGTGCCTTTGGAAGCAAATCAGATGCAGCCTGAGGAACAGCGGTGTTCCTCGTCAGCCCAGCTTCCCCTTGCAGCACGCTGGTGGTACCCCGGAACACTACCATAGCCTAACCACATAGCTACCCATCATGGAAACCTCACAAATCTAGGAGCTAGGTTGCACAGACCCACTTCAAGGCCTGTGAAGTGCCATCCACTTTGTAAGCGAGAGAGCCTACAGGCTGCAGGGTAGAGAAAGCAAGAGTCCTTGGAGATGTCAAAGAGCCGTGGAAGGTTCAAATGGCAGCTGAATGTTTCCCAAAATGATGCTGGTTAGTCAAAACTGGGAGTGTAGTTCCTCTTGTAACCTCAGTGCTAGGGAAGTGGAGATCAAAGGGTCCTTGGGGCTTATTGCCCATCAGCCCACCTCACCAACTCAGTGCATTCCATGGTAGTGAGAAACCTGACCAATGAAAACGGTTGTTGGCATCTACACCTGTGTGCACCCGTATACCGTACCAAGGCTCTCTAGTATAGTTTTTATTTTATTTTATCCTTTGCTGTTTGACCTATGGTAGCTTTGAATGGTCCATATTTTCTGAGGACTGAGGCCTGTGCAAGAACTAGCATGTGTATTGTCCCAAGAGTCCAGTTGCAGAGACGCTCGGTATCTCATGAATGCAGAGAGTCCAGTTGCTTCTTTATGGTCTCAGCAGCTGGAAACCTCTCCACACTTCTGGTGTCTTCACCAAGGGTCTCAGAAGCAGCTGCAATCATGTGACCTGCACAGTCAGGACTAGAAGGTTTCAGAATCAGTTGCGGATGTCTAAACATGGTTAAAGTGGCTCCTGGAAATTCGGATTTGGGTTTCACCATAAAGCCTGGCGATACATCCTAGGCAGGCAGTTTGGTTCTGCCTCTGGCTTCTGGGAGGAGGAGTGACTTCTCCACTGGAAAGCTGAACCTCCAGATTTTGGTACCTACAGAAATGTCCATGTTGTCCCCTGCCTAAATCAGAGCATAAAACCTCCAAAAGATTCCAGTGCTGAACAACCCAGGGTCTCCTGTAACAAAATGCAGCCTGTGGATAACTATGAATGTGGAGAAGACCAAAAGACCTTCCTAACCCTTGATAAATTCCTACCAAAGAAACAGAATTAAGGCCATTGTTCCATTCCCCCACCCCCCAAACAACATGATATATCCCAGAAGGTTAGTGAAGTTCAGTATGGTGCCACCAGGATAAATCTCAAGTGGAAGAAATCTAACTTCAAAGCCACCGCAAAAGAACTCTGCAACCGCGAGAAGCTGTGCTGAGTGGAGACAGAAGCGATGGGCTCAGTGCTTTGACTCCATGTATGTGTCTCACTCTCTCTCATCCTTGGTCTGTGTCTCCAAGACGGGAATCACAAAGGCTGTCCCTGCCTGTTCCTCAAAGATGCAGTGTAGAGGAGGGCACTCTTGGACAACTAAGCTCAGCTGCCAAAAACAAGTCACTCAGTTCACACGGTTGTGGTCCCAGGTCCCAAGACGGCTGTCATCCACTTGACCTAGCCTCATTAGTCAAGCTTCCCCGACCAAGGCTATCCAGACCCAGCCTGGCAGGGATTGGAGGCCTCTCTGGCCACAGGGAGTCTTGGGCATGAGGCAGAGGTGGGTCCTGGGGCCACACAATCCCATCTACAGTTGGGGATTGCAGAGCGATTGTTTCTTCTTTACTTTGTTCCTGTGTCTCACATCCCCATTCTTCTCCAGCCAGCCTGATCGCTCCTGTCATTCGGAAAAGGAGACTTAGATAACTAAGCCCCTCGCCAGCAGTCTTCTGGCAAAGGTCCAAGCTCTTAGACCCAGCTTAGTGCTCAGAGCACATGGTGGCTTTGGGAGCCCAAGGGCTGGTGCCTATAACCCTGAGGGTACTGCAGGCTGTCGCTACACACCCAAGGCTTCAATTTCTCAGCCCAGCCCTTCTGGTTTTGAGTCCAGAGTAGGCACTTTTGTTTTCTTAAAGACTTTGAATTTCTGGTACAAAGAGTAGCAAAGTGCCAAAGATGATTAGCAATAAGAAAAGATCCTGGAGAGCTGTACAGCTCTGCAAGGTCACTGGTCACAGGGCTCCCTTTTCTGTTACTCTTAGGTCCCCCGCTGCCTGAGGATGTTAGCACAATATCCCTCAAACTTGCAGGTCCTTACCCACCTGTCTCAAGAGGCATTCTCTCTCCTAGTTGTGCCTTGGTGAGTGAACGTTTCTTGGCTTTTCAGGGCAACTTGTGGCGGGAGCACGGTGCCCACCTTGACATAACCAGCTTGCTCAGTTGTCCCTGGCATTAAGAATGAGGAACCACAGACTATAATGACCTCCCCAGATCTTGGCCACTGTACAGGCTGAGTACCTTTGTGCCAGAGTTAGCCACCCTACCCCAGCCACAGCAGGCCTGGCCAGAGCACCACCAGCCCATGGCCTTACAGCGATTTAACTCCATGCATCAAGCCAGGTCTCGCAGAAGGTTGCTCTGCATGCAGATCAGAACCTAGAGATACTGAATTGCAAGTATGCATGTGTACGCAGGATGTGCCGGGAACAAGGTGGAGTTGAAGGAGCGTAGAGTCATTCAAGAGCCACCCTCAAAGCTGTCTACTCAACCACCTTCTCTGATGCTGCCATCACTGGGGTTAGGGACTGGGAACAGCCCCCATTCAGGTAGAAATGTGCCCATGATTTTCCCTGTCTGGCTACTTTGGGAAAGAAAGATAAATACAACTCCCCATGGAGCCCCTGACCTCACTCTTCAGGTGATTGGAACAATGAATGTGGGCACTGTGGGATGGAACTTCCCCATGGGTTTTTTTTATTTTATTGTTCAGACTGGACCTGTTTCAGGACTTCAGTGTCCTCTCTGCCATCCCACTTGGCAAGGAGTGTTGCTGTTTTGCCCATGGAGTCTGCTACGTTTTCAAACCAATTGCTGTGAACTATTTTCCTGTCACGAGTAAGCAAGCAACCTAGATGGGAATGAGAAGACTTGCACTCTGGGCCACCCTCGTCTTCCTCATAGCAGTGGGACCCCATAATTGGTGGGAGGCAATGCCTGCACAGCCAGCCCTGAGAGGAGGCTGTAACTGGGGCTCTCAGAAGGCGTCTCTTCCCACCCATGCAATCTTAGGTCACTTCCACCCAAGGGCTGTGAGAAAAGTGAGCCCATCCAGGGAGGTGATGGATAGGAGAAACCACATACCTGAGGATGCTGTCCTAAGGGTTAGCGTCTGCATGTACACAAGAGTTCAGTGAAAGCACCAAACTAGACAACTGGGGGGTGAGGGAGCAAATAGCAAGGGTTATTGGGGAATCAAAACTGCCAGGCTGTGCAGCGAGACCAGAAGGCAGGTAAAGCCTTGCCAGTTTCAAGAAGGTATTTTGTAGCGGCGGGAGGTGTGCAAGCCGGGACAGTATGGAAACTAGAGTAGTGGGGGCAGGGACCATGGGCCACAACAGCCTGGGAGCTAGTGTGGGGGCTTTGATCTGCGGCGTGTTTGCTTGAGTTAATAGGGGACTAGATGCCCCATTGCCCAAGGTAGTTGGCTAAGGTGGGTAAGGGAAGTAATGGCTTTTTCTGACAAACAGAAACCTGCTTCCCAAGATTTCTGAGGAATGCCGAGTTTAGATGGTAACCCTTCTGTTTGCCTAGTCAGAGTCCACCCAGAGCTGAGCCCAGGCTGTCATTTATGACATTGTCAGCAGCGCTGCTATTTTAGTGGCCCACTTTGAACATAATGTTCCAGCCTTTCGTTGATAGTGAGGGACGACTGTAGTCATCTTACTACTTCTGGCTAACTGGGGACATGCAGGGAAGGAAGGGGTTCTTAGGAAGGCTGGGACACCAGCCACAGGTGAGGAGTCAGACAGGCAAGCTACTGTAGGAGACCTGGAGAAACTGTGAGAAGCATCTGGTTCACTGACCTTGGGGTTGTTTCACCAATTCTTTCCCAAGAGAACCTGAAGAGACGGGGAGCAGTCATTATCACAAGAAGAGTTGGTACCAGTAGGCCAAGGAGCTAAAGGATCCAGGGGCTCCATACAAGGGAGACCAAAAGGAGAGCCACACACAGAGTTGGCCCCTGGAGGCCATGATTTGCGAGTCAGCTCTGGAAAATCTGTATTCCACTCTTCTACTTGTCCAGGCTGATTCACATAGTAGCAACATTCTTCACTGAGGAAGAGGCATGATACTCTTTTATTGGCTGCCAGTGGAGGGCTTGCCAGTTTTGGAGGGCCAGCAAGGTTAATGAGATGAGCTGGCTAGGGAGCTGCCTTAGGGCCAAGGTTGACTCCTGGATGTTGCATGATGGGTATTTGCTGTGATAAGACACAGACTATTGGAGGTAAAGCTTTCCTGTCCCACAGCTGCTCTCAAATAATCACGCAGAGGCTTAGTATTAATTACAAATGCTCAGCCAATAGCTCAGGTTTGTTGCTAACTAGCTCTTATAACTTAACCCATTTCTGTTAGTCTGTGTGCTGCCCCAGGCTCATGGCTTTTACCTCTATGCCATTTTGTATGTCTGGCTCGGTTTCCATCTGGCTGGTGACTCCTCTGACTCTGTCCTTCCTCACCTCATTCTTTCTCAGTTTGGCTCTCCCACCTAACTGTATCCTGTTCAGCTACTGGCCAGTCAGCCTGTTTATTAAACAATTGCAGTGACATATGTTCACACAGTGTATACAGAGGATTATCCCACAGCTTTTCCCCCTTTTGTCTAATTAGAAAGGAAGGTTTTAACTGTAACATAGTGAAATTACATACAACAAAAAATTA